TTTCTCAGTTATCCATAATACTTACCAGCCCCAGAAAGGTAAAACATTCCGCTTAGCTCCTAATAAAGAAACTGTATATCAGAACTGGAAGCGATCTCTAATTCGTCGGGTGAGAGTTTACTATACACATAACGTATATCCTCACCATTTTCATAAAATTGTCCTTCACCCGTTTGGTATGGTGGCAACTTTGGGGCGCTTTCTTTATCGAATGGACCTACTAGATGGTAATGAGTCCGTTTATTATTAGTAGCTTTAAACTTTATCCCATAAGTTGCAGAAAGTGCTGAATTCAATAAACCCAGTTTTGCTTTGTCCGATTTTAAGCCGGATTTTTTAGCACTACGAGATGCGTCTGTATTATCAAATACTCTTGCCATTTTAGGGGCTAGATCTTGAAGATACTGTATTGATTCGGGTGTATGTAGGCATCTTTTAACATCATCCGCTTTGTATCTGTTTCTATCATCAATATATCTAACAGGTGTGCAAAACTTTATTAAGTCCAGACAGATTCGATGTTTTTCAGATTGGGTAACGATTGTTAGCATATCATTTCTATAATCTTCGCGCCTCAACTGCCGTCTCATTGTTAGTACCGGCATCTCGTAATTTTCGGAGATTTCTAAACCATTTCATTTCATCATATTTACCATAATCTGTGATAAATTCCTCTGTCAAAGATTCAGGTGACATTCCATAGCAATCTGCAATATGGTACCGGTTTAACGCATACATTTCTTCTAAAGTCTTCTTTGGCTTGTTTTCTAGGTGTTCGGCCATCTCATGATTGAGAATATTGGCGTTGGCAATGTCTGAAATTTCCTCCGCTTTAATAACCGAAGTATACCCCTTTACTGTTTCAGTTAATGTCACGGTATCATCTTTAGCTTTTGGAGTGGCTTTTATTATAGAAACTATCATACCTGCCTTTTTAAGAAAATCTACCATTCTCCATCCAAATAAACGACGAGATCGGAATTTTTCCAATGTGTGAGCAACCCACAATCGAACTGTTGGGATGTCTTTATTTCGAATAATGGATTCTACATCTGGAAATATTCCTCTATTCTGAGGCTCTTGAGGGAGACATTCGCGTTTTGCTTTTAGCAACCAGTAGAATAACCCCTCTTCGGCAATTGGGAGGTTAGATGATCTTTGTTCGATGTGGCATGTGTATTCTTTAATACATCTCATACGGAATAGCATCTGATTTGTCCCTGCATTTGTTTCTATATAACTTTTGAAAAGACAAAATGCACGCTCGAACTTAGGGTTAGTACACGAGACTCCTATTTTTAATGTACTTGTATATGCAACAAGATCCACGTCTTTCCATGCCTCTTCCACATTGCTAAAATCCTGAGACTTCTCAATTGGATCTGATTTCCATGATATCTTTTGATGCGTAATGTTGGGAATTCTCTTATCAGAGCGCGAGTAATACCTTGTACATCTCCTCTAAGATGGCAAATGAGTGATGCGCTTTTTCGTTCTTCATAAGGTAATGAAGACATCACTCTTGCCCACTCCCAAAGTTCAGCTAATACAGTTTCTTTATTAGGAGCTAAGCGGAATGTTTTACCTTTCTGGGGCTGGTAAGTATTATGGATAACTGAGAAA